CCTGCTCTGGGTGACCCTGCTTGGGCAGGGGGCTGGGCTGGGTGACCCACAGAGGGCCCTGCCAACCCTGCCACACTGGGATTCAGTGATTCTGCATCAGGGGAGGTTTAGATTGGATATTGGGAAAAATTTCTTTGCTGAGAGAGTGGTCAGGTGTTGGCCCAGGCTGCCCAGGGCAGTGGGGGAGTCCCCATCCCTGGAGGGGTTCAGACACCGTGTGGCTGTGGCACTTGGGGACAGGGTTTAGCAGGCATGGGGGGGTTGGGGTGACAGTTGGACTGGGTGATCTTAGAGCTCTCTTCCAACCTTCATGATTCTGTGATTCTGTGAAAGGGACCAAGAGCAGTCAGCCACCTGGGTACTGCCGTTGGAGCAGATTTCTTTGCTGCTTTCACACCACTTGATACCACTGCGAGATGAGGAACAGCCCAACACTGTTCTGCCCAGAGCCGCTCTGTCCCGCTGGTCTCATGTCCTCCCTCAGAGGAGACCAACACGGGCGAGACCGCGGCCCCAGCGAGGCTTCCAGCCCAGGACACTTCCAACCGGGCAAAATCAGTCAGGCGGACACAGCCCGCGGCGCCTGCTCTCCGCAGGCAGCTTTCCTGATCTTCCTCACGTTCCTACTGCCAGAACTGGAGGACCCAACAGATCTCAGAGGCATCTCTCTCGTGGGGTCTGAAGGCAGCCGGCGCCTTTGCTCATCACTGGGGTGATGGACAGAGGAGGTTTGTAACGTTTGTGGCAGACCTCGAGCTGAAAAGTGCTGCAAACGGAGTGGGGAGCGAACACAAGGAGCAGAGTCCCGAGCATCTCACCGAGCAGAAGATCCACAATCAGCCACGTCCAGGGTGCCGGCGCAGCCCCACGCGCGGCCGGAGGGACTGCTCCCCACTGAAACCCTACATCCCATCCACCATGTCTCCTCCGAGGCCTTCCCACCTGGGAAGGCTGCAATCTTCAACGTGGAGGACTCCTCTCCCTCCCAGGCCTTTGTTGCTCTCAAACCAGTCAAGGTCTTCTTCCGTCTAACCTAACCTGCCCGGCCACATCTTCAATCCAGGACTTCTCATCCGAGGAGCCTCTGTGAGGTCCCTCCTCTCCGCAGCGCTGGAAGCACGCGGAGCCAGCAGATGAGAGCTGGTGGACCACCGAGTCCGTGGAGAGGCGACCACGGTGGCAAACCTCTGCGCCCCACGCCTGCTCCCCTGCAGAGCGACGGCCGAGACCTCTCCCCGCTGGAAGATGCTCCAGCAAACGTCCCGCTCCCCACAGCCTCCCTTCCCTGCTCGGGACGCTCCCAACCTGAGATCTCGTCCTCGTCCTCTGCGAAGTGCTGGCTGCTGCGCTGCTCCCACGTGGGCGGCGTGTATTTCTTCCGCGTCACGTACTGCCGGCCGATTGTTTTCTTGGCGTTTTTCACCAGGTTTTTGGAAAGTGTCCTGGAAGCAGAGGAGAGGTTGAGGCCAGCTGACCCCACCGCCCGCACGTGCGTGACGACAGCCCAGCGCGGCCGGAGGAGCAGCCCTGAAGGGTGAGAGACACCAGCACCGAGAGCGAAGAAGAGACAGGAGCAGCTCTCAC